CGTCTCTCCAGACAGCATGATGCAGTCAGCTCCATCAGGGCTGCATTGGCCACATCGCTGCCCTCAGCCTGCGTGGGACCGGGCTTCTTGATCATGCCCTCCAGCATCTGTGTGGCACAGATGATAGGGTTCCCAGCTTGGTTGCACCGCCCCATCCTCATCTTTTTTTTTTAATTCTTTTTTTATTATTTATTTATTTATTTAAAATATATTTCTTTTAAGGTATTACATATGTGTCCTTATCCCTCCATTTCCCTCCCCCACCCCCCAACTCCTGCTCTCACTGCCCTGGTGTCTGTGTCGCCGGCTAGGGCCCATCCTCATCATTTGAGCAAGGAAGACCTTCTCTGTAGCAACCTCAATGCCTAGATCACCAGGAGCCACCATGATCCCATCACTGGCTTCCAGGATCTCATCAAACCTCTGATCTCCTTCAAGATTTTCGATTTTGCTGATTTTCTTGATGTTCTTTCCTTTTTCCCCCAGGACCTTCCTGACTTCATGGCTATCAGATGCCTTGCGACTGAAAGATGCGAACACCGTATCTACATTCTGCTCCACTCCAAACGTCAGATCCTGGGTCTCCTTTTCTGACAGGCAGATCCACAGCAGCCCCAGGGAGGTTCATGACCTTCTTGCTGCCCAAAGTGCCACCACCTCCACCTCTGTTATCAGGAAGCCAGCCCCTTTCTCCTTCACCTGCAGAGAAATAAGTCCATCATCCACGTTGATCTCGCTGCCCACTTCCACCACCTTGCAAATATTCTTGCAGTCCAGCCACAGGGTGTTTCCCTCACACTTTTCCATGTAGGCCTTCTCCAGCGTGCTCTTGAGAGTGGCCCCTTTCTTCAGCTCCACCTCCGCGGTGCCGCTGCCCTTGACGAGCCCAGTTCGGAACTTAGGTCCTTTAGTGTCCAGGGCACAGCTTTCAGTGCCCTGCGCACGTTATTGATGGTCTCCGCATGGTACTCGTGAGTTCCAGGAGAAAAAGTCATACGAGCCACTTTCATTCCAGATTGAACCATCTCTTTCAACATCTCCACTGATCGGCAAGCAGGGCCGATGGTACAGATGATGCCAGTGTTCCAGGCCATGGTGGGCAGCGAATCAATGTCCAGGCGGCATATGTGCTCCAGGAACATGTCAGCCACGGCTGCGTGCAGCTACTGCGTCTGAATAAAGGCAGTGCCGACACCACTATGGGGCTGCAACATGGCTTCTGAGGTCCTCTGGCCAGGTCCGGCTGGAGCTACAGATGGGAGGTTCGGAGGTTCCGGAGGCGTCGCTGTCTGATGATGTACTGTCAGAAAAATGGACAGTAACCCAAACACCTGAAGTTAAGTGTGTACATTCTCTTAATTTCTGACTTTCAGGTAGTTGTGAGGAAAGTACAAAGAATTCCTGGATACCCTTCATCCAGATTCCCCAAATGTACACATTATCACATTTGCTTAGTCCTTCCTCTTTACACACACACACACACACATCTATACATCTCATTTTTCTTAATCCATTTGAGTAAGTTGCAGATATGATGCCTCTTGACTCTTAAACACTTCAGTGTGAATTTCCTAAAACCAAATAATTCTCTTAAATCCTCATTACAATAATAAGGATCAGAAAGCTAACTTTGATACTATGCTTATCTAATCCACAGGCCTTTATTCACATTCCACCAGCTGTCCCAGTAACGTCCTTCACTTCAAAAGGAAATTCAAACCAACGTGTTGCACTCAGGGCATATCTCTCTCTCTCTCTCTTTTTAATATATATTTTATTGACTTTTTTTTTTTACAAAGAGGAAGGGAGAAAGATAGTTAGAAACATCGATGAGAGAAAAACATGGATCAGCTGCCTCCTGCACACCTCCTACTGGGGATGTGCCCGCAACCAAGGTACATGCCCTTGACGGGAATCGAACCTGGGACCCTTCAGCCCGCAGGCCAACTCTCTATCCACTGAGCCAAACCGGTGAGGGCAGGGCATGTCTCTTTAGACTTCTTTCATCTGGAAAAGTTCCTGGGTTTTTGTACCACATTGGACACTATTGCGAGCACCGGCCTACAGAATGCCCATTAATTTGGGTTTGTCAAATTATTGGGTTTAGGTTGTGCATTTTTGGCAGAAATACCAATCGTGGTGTGGCTCTCACGGGGATGTTTCTCTCCCTCTTTCTCTGTGTCTGTCTCTCCCCTACCAGCCTCCCTCCCACTCTCTCTCTAGAAAGAAATGTTCTGGGCTGAGGATTCACACCAACAGCAGCAACTACAACAAACAGGCTGCTGCACAGTGTCCCCATCT